CAGCTGAGCGGAGGGGAGCGACTTTAAAAGACTTAAAAAGTGCGAATTAATTTATAATAAATCACGAGCCGTTTTCCCCATTGCTAATTACCAATTGACACTTAAATGAGGAAATGACACGCCTCTTGTAGTACGCCCTTTTTAGCTGGCTTTGCTTTGCCGCACACCAGACACTATGGCGACCTCCTCATACTACAAAAAAGAAAAGAAAATCGCACAACGTCCTTGGGCAATTTGCATTGCAAAACTTTTGCTAGGACTGGCAATTTAATTGGCTTGACTTGACTTGGCTTTGCTTGGCTGGCAGCAAGCACTTGGCCAGGACATGTCCGAGGCGCAAGAAAATCGATGGCTGGGACCAGAGCAAGCAGAAATCAATGGAAAGTTGCCCACTAATTTAAGTGACTTAATGCTTAGGCAGCCAAAAAGAGAAATGAACAAAAAAAAAAAAAAAAAAAAAAAAAAAAAAACAAGCAATAAATGAAATAAAACACGCATACGCCGTGTTGTGCTCTACATAGGCATAATTAAGCACAGCGTCTAACACGTAACACACCGAATTCACCTACACACACACTCACACACCCAGGCACCGACTGCTGCTTAAGTGACACGCTGCCCACATCACGCCCACATATCACATCTCCCATATATACGTATTAACCTCCCACAGTTCACGTCATGCACATAGCGCCACTTTTGCTGCGAACAAAATTCTATAAAAATGCTACACTTACTGCGCTATGATGCACTCTGAGATACCACGTAATAAACTACATGGCATTTATTTAACTAAATTGCGCTTTAAAGTAGACCTTAATATATTATTGGAGTAGTACAAAGTAGATGTAATTTAATGATATGAAATATAAATAATTTAAAAAGAAATTTATGTATATAATAAAATATATTAAACACTAATTTGTATAAATTTGCATGTAAAATTATTAATAAATAGCTTTCCAATTATTAATCTAAGTTATATGCTAGCATAGTTCGCTATTCAGTTTTTAATGGTGTAAATACTTTATATAGAAACCGAAACTAGGCAACTACAGGGTATTCTTACACAAGCCACAATGCCTGCTGAGCATTTGTCTATCCGCTAAACAATCATTTAGATTTATAATGATGCCAGTTGACAGAGCTGCCCACTGGCATATTAATTGGGTTCGTTGAGGCTACCTTGACACTGGCATGCCATATGACATGAGTCAGTGGTGCGCTTTGTGGTGCCAGTCGTGTCACTGGTATTGCTGGCATCACTGGTGTCACTTGGGCCCTGCTTTAATACATTTATATTAGGCTGCTTTCTGCTGAGACATCATGAAACGAAAACGCTTGTATATTACGCATACGCCACGTCATGTTTGCATTTAACCTACTGTTCTCTCTGTAACCCTCACTAAAATAGTAAATGTGAAATGCAAATGCTTTCTTTTGGCTTTTGTGAAACAGCTGCAGCAGCAACAACAGCGGCAACAGCAGCAGCAGCAGCAGCATCAGCAGCAACAGCAGCCACCACAGTCAATGCGGGCAAAGCAAATCCAGCCAGCGGGTCAAACATTTCGTTATCCTGTCCTGCTGTTGAACAAAAACAAAAACAAGGAACTAACCGTGGTGGCAACGGGCAAGACTAAGAATAAGTGGCGCTATGTTGATAAAGTAAATATTTAACACACACACACACACACACTGTGAGACACAGACACACCTCTACACTCTCACACTCTTAATGACAAAGTAAACACAACAAAACTCAAGCGTTTAATTTATGGATGCATTATAAAAGAAAAGAAGAACACATTGAAATTCCTTAGCCTCACCTGTTCGCCATGCCCAACTGAATGAATGAATGATTGGCAGTTCTTTCTGGGCCGGGCATATTACCCCCACGGGTCTCCCTCGAAAAAAAGAAGAATTGTATTTGCTTGTATAGTCATTAAGTGTTTGCTGCCAGCGCCTCATCAATGTCTCATTTACTCACCCACTCCCAACTATTTCCACGCAGATCAACAATGAAACAGGCCTCTCGCTCATACCCGAGTATGCGATACAGTCGCTTTCCCCGGAGGAGATGCAGGCCATGTCCGTGGTAGGTGCTGTCACCAATGCCCCTATGGCTATACCCTAATATGCATTACTTAACTCTTATATTCATATAAATTTTATATGCAGCGCATGGAGGCGCGACTCAATAGACTGAAGGAAAAGTGTTCGGAGTTCGGGCTGGATGTGGTGGGTGAGTAGGCTCGGCTAAAACAATTTACGGCTAAAATATATTTACATTTTAATTATAGGCCCGGATGCCTGGCACACGCCCAACACTTGGGAATTTTTGGTTAATAAAAAATATCATATTATATGGTAAGGGACCCTTGACGGAGCTCTGACGTGGTATCGTCTAAATTTCTGTGTATGTGTCCTTTGCAGGTGCAATGTGTTCAAGGCGGCTTCCTCGTCCTGGATGTTCAATTTCAATGTGCTGGCTGGCTACACGCCCAACTATTTGCTAAAGACCAAGAAGATTCTGCTCAATTTGGCCAGAGAGCGTTATCCACGCGTAACTCTGCAAGAGGTGAGTCAGCTTTAATTAGCTTTAAAGTGTTTTATATCAACAACAGTTCATGATTGCAGTTGCGTGAGGCGCAGAACGATTCGACTACGTTTATCATAGCCAGAAATCCCTTTGAGAGACTTCTGAGCGCCTATCGAGATAAGATCGTATTCGCGCTGCCCTATTCCTTTCACGACAAACTGGGTCGCAGCATTGTGCGTACCTATCGCAAGAAGGTAACAAGAGTTGTGGAATACTAGAAAATATAACCGAAATTGATGTTCTCCACTTACTTCTTGCAGCCCAAGCTGATCTCACGTGCGGGCAACACAAAGTACCCTTCGTTTCCAGAGTTTGTGCACTGGCTGCTCGATCAAATCAAGCGTGGCAACTACATAGACATGCACTTCGTTTCGGCCACATCGTTCTGCACGCCCTGCCTCATACGGTTCGATATGATATTGAAGTTCGAGTCGCTGGCAGAGGATCAACTATATCTAATTGAAAAGACTGGCCTCCAGCGCGTCATAGCGCCCGTCTGGCGCAACATGGGCAAAGGAGGCAGAAAGACCCAGGAGCTGCAGCAGCAGTTCTATTCCCAGCTAACCAAGCAAGAGATGCTCGAGCTCTACAACTACTACCAGTAAGTGCAATGCCCAAAGGAGCTGAACTGAGTCAAAGCCCAGATTAATTTATTCTCTCACCATTCTTAGATATGACTTCGATCTGTTTGATTATGATATCAAGGAATATTTGAAGTATGCCAGAGCTGACGAAGAAGCAGGCGCCGCCGCATCGGGGGCGTAACTACAATTAAAATTCATAGAATTTATTAAAAACGCAGAAAACCAAAACTAAATGTATACAGAAAAGAAAGGAAGATATCACTTAGACACTTATGATCAAATTAGCCGTCACAGTAGGTAATTGCAAATGTTGATAATAATGAATGAAACAATAATAAAGTTAATGGCTATAAATATGGTAAAAACTAGAGCAATGTTTTATATTCTTAACTAAAGACTTTCCACTTGAACTGAAAATGTATAATAAATTTGAAAAAAGAAAAAGATATTTCCGATTCCTTGGCATCTAACAGTGGGCAGATAATTTGGGTCCAAATGTCCATTTGGTTTTATTTATGTGTTAATGATAATA